CTAGTACTTTTAGCAGCTTTATTGTTTTTGCATTTTTGAGTAAATGATAATCATAAAATGCCTAAGTGTAAACATAGCAAATACACACTAGACTAATGGCTACGCCACAAGCAAAATGATAGGCACTGGTGCATAACTAGTAATGCCATCTCTTGGTAGCAGACAGGGTTGATACCTTTTTGCTCTGGAAAATAGCTTTGCTCCTGTGACATCTTGTAAATCACAAGTTTGTAAGTATGAGAGTTTCCATAAACTAGAAAGCTTTGGAGAATAGTGAGATCTCAGTAGACACTGTGGGGTATGAGTCACTGTTTTATAAGCAGTAATTGTGTTCATATAGAGTGCGTAAGTAGTCATGATTTTTAAAGCTATCATGTTTTTGTAAAAATAACATTTTAGGAGCTGAATGAATCTTGAGAACTATAGTGAACTTAGTTAAACCACCCTGATCAGATGGTAATCTATCCTTTCTCCAAGAAAAAAGATGTCATACCATTTATAGCAAATAATTTGGGGATTAACTTTCATTGTAAAGATATTTTTCCTAATTATTACCTACCTCTTTTGATGCTACCACATAAGCTCATTCTCTCTCCTCATTTTAAGCATAAGCAGGCCTGTGATTGCTCTAAGAGAGCCTTTCATTGACAGCACATGTTTGTGATTTAATGATGACTTTCCACGAGTTCATCTTACATGGGAAACTTTGCCCTTTCTTCCTTGGTGCCCCTGTTGGGCCCTCGAACATAATTCTGTTATGTTCTGTCCTAATTTTGTTGTGTTAGTGAATGCATTTGTTACATGTTTGTTTCTTCTTACCCCTACCCCAAGCTGTAAGTTTCATTGAGTGGGACTGTGTCTGTCATTTTTGTATCTCCAGCACTTACCTCAGTGCCTTAGTAAGTGATTATAAATATCCACTGGAGAAAATAAGTGTCCTTAATTATTCCTCCTGGATTTATATTCTACTACTCACTCCTCAGTTATCCAGCTCTGTTTTAGTTTCCTTCTAAGCTCTTGAGTGGAGTAGATCAAATTGTTTATTTTGATGATGACAGCTATTTCTAATTTGATCGGTATAGCTTTATAAATGAGGATTATCAGCAGCTGCCGCTCCTTTTAACAATCCCTTCATTGAAATTGCATGTTTAAAGATTTGTTCACAAATAACATCTCATTTCTTTTTCCTGATAAGCCTCAGAGGTAGCCAGGTTTGAAAGAAAGCGTGTCAGATGCCCCCATCTCTCTCTCTGTGCTACTTCCTGGTGTGTGGCATTGGAGGTTCCTTTGTCTGTGGGCTCAAATCCCTTGTCTTTGGTGAGAGGTTTGTATTGGATGATCTCCAAGCTTTCTCCCAAGTCTAATAAGCTCTGATTCTGTTGTGGCTTCACTTACAGAAGAACTGAGACTTGAATTTCTCTTCGTCTTCATATTCCTGGCCCAGGGATATTTTCATTGCACCCATCAGCTTCTTCTCCCTACTCCCTATAGAGTGTTTATGCAACCGGAAGCAAATTAACTTTACAAATGTGATGCTGTAATGCTAACTTAAAGGCATTTTCCACTAAGATTTCATTTTCTTATTCTTAATGTTTAATAGCCACTCTGCTTGTAGCAAATGTCCTTTTTCCCACCTTCATTTTCTCCTCTTTTTGCAGTATTCTGCCTTTACTCTTTTTAAATCTGATTATGTTTCTGTTATTTTTCCAATTCATGAAGTTTCCCTTCAATTAAAAGCTTGTAAGTATTCTCTGCAAATTTCATGAATATTGGCTGTACTTTTTTTCATCATCCAAGTCACTGGTGGAAATGTAATACTTAAGATTACAGAGTAAATGAAATAAAGCTTTCTGAAATACTTTCCTCGTACTCCTCTCCCATGAAAAAACCTACATTTAATCTTTCTTGCAACTCCCGTCCACATGTGTGAACACAGCTGTGCAGAGGCACTTTGGTGAAGGGGAGAAGCTGCATTCTAGAAGTTGCCAGTTGTTCGGAAAGGCTGGGGAGAGAGTGAACAATGAAATTCCTGAGATAACTAGATAAGACTTTCACAAAGGTGTTTGCACCAAAAATGAAATACAGATACTTGTGTGAGACCAGTATGAGGGTGGCTGGGAGGCAGTTGTTCCGAGGGTGGGGAGTTGTGGAGGGAAGTCTTAGTAGAAGATACACATTTTGCAGTCATGAACATCAGGGTGGTGACTGATGCCCTGTGATCTCCCTGGAGTGCCAGCTAAAGAGAGAGACAATGAGGACTCAGGACAGTACCCTAAACCTGTGGTGCCCAACCCCTGGGTCATAGACTGGTACCGGTCTGTGGCTTGTTAGGAACTGGGCCACACAGCAGGAGGTAAGTGGCTGGCAAGTGAGGGAAGCTTCATCTGTATTTACAGCCACTCTGGGCTCCCACTGATTCTGCATTATGGTGAGTTGTATAATTATTTCATTGTAATTCATTTCATGTAATAATAATAGAAATAAAGTGCACAGTAAATGTAATGTGCTTGAATCATCCCAAAACCATCCCTCCTCCACCCCCAGTCTGTGGCCAGTTGTCTTCCATGAAACCAATCTCTGATTCCAAAAAGGTTAGGAACCACTGCCCTAAACATCTCTGACTTTTATGGGATGGGCAGAGTATGAGAAGCTCACAACAGAAACCTGAGTAGAGGAGATCCTAGAAGTGAGAAGTATGAGAGGATAACTGTATTCAGTATTTATTCATTCATTCAACAAAAATATACAAAGCACTATTTTAGGCCCTGGGAATTCAACAGGGATAAGGAAAACATGCCTACTTTCCTCAAATTTGAATTCCAGAGGGGAGACAAACATGAAACATATAATTTGCCCATTTACTTAATTGCTATTCAGATAAGTATTCTTTAAGAGGCATAGAACTTGCATGAGAGGGCATGGCTGGGTACCTGGACCCAGTCTAGGGGATTTAGGGAGGTCTGCATGAATGAGGTAAAATTTGACCTCTGAAGGGCTATTAGGTATTAACAAGGTACAAGAAGAGCCTACCTGTCATGTCAAACAGGTAAAACTGTACTCTAGGTGGAAAGGAGAATGAAGCATTCAAAGGACTGGAAGACCAGTAGGGATGAAGGGGGGAAGTGCATGGGAAAGTGACTTGAGAAGGGGCTGGTGATTTAGGTAGAAAGTGCAGGTTCAAGATGTTCCCTTTATCCTATGGGCAATGGGATATCTTTAAACAGGGGAATAGCATGATCATATTCTAACTCTAAAAGGCCAGTGTGACTGTGGTGTTTCTTCCCTGTGGAAACCATGTATTATAGCTCTTTATGTGCATTTCACAATGCCTAGCACATTACTACAAGTATTGTGCTGTGTAGATACCTCTTAGCAATAAAGGAAGGAAGAAACAGCAGACCCAAATTGGCCTCAGGAACACACCATTCCTACAGCTTCCCTTTGCTTCTAATAACCTTGAGGTTTTTTATCTATTTCTTTTCTTCTTCTTCAGCCAATATTGGTTGAAGAGAATTCCATTTGTAACAACATCCTCAGGAATAGTCACTCTTTGTCAAAGAGTGGATCTAACAAGAACATGCTCCTCCTTTTTATTTATTTCCTGCATAGCAATAGCACCTAGTCAATGACCAATTTTCTTTCCTTTATTCAATAATTATGTATTGAGCAGCTACTAGGATCCAGGGGTAACACTTGGCTTTAGAAGAGGCCAAAATCACCAACAAAATTCATTCCCATACAAAACAATCATTGTATTTTATGAAGCCTGTGTTCAGTACATATTTTTAGAAACTCTCAAAGTGTTCTCCAATAAGAACTAAATTGCAAATGGCAATTAGGTTTTCAAAACAGTCCAGAAAAATCTTACGTAACTTGGTGATAGTGACAAAAGAATCAGCTGAAGTTCCCTTCTGTGTGTGTGTGTGGCTGGTAAAGGGGTCATGCAGTGCTTCTCCCTCTTTGGACTTCTTCCACTTCCTTTCTATACTCTGTCATGGTGGCACATTCTTGTTAGACCTTCAGGAATCCAGTCCTCTGCTGCAGCCTAACCTCAGAGACCCCATTCCTCTGCCTGCCCATGTGTGGCACTGTACTCAGGACCAGACAGATGTCCTGTCTGTTTTGACAGATGCACCCTTATCTGGTGCGAAAACCACACCAATGGCTGGAACCAAGGTAGGCTTCGAGAAAAGGAAGAAGAGAAAGGAAGGACTTTATTGTCTGCAAGAAAGACAGATATTAACCCATTACCTAATTATAATTGGGATTCATCCAAGAAGTTCCCTAAGAGCATATGACACAGAATATGCTACATCGGCCAAGTCTGGGATGTAGGAGGAAACCCACACTGAGAAAATGACATTTAAGGTGACTCATGAAGCATGAGTGGGAGTCCTTATATAACACAGAGAGGTTCCTGTCCATCCATACGAACTCCTCCTTTATTTGCATGTGAATCCCTGGTTCCAGTTGTCCTACGCCTCCATAACCACCATCCTCACCAGGCCAACTCCAGCACAAGCACACTGGAAAGGTACCAGCCACCCTGGATTGAGAGCCCCCAGAGTAATCAAAGCCCTCTGTGTCCTCGTCCACAGTCTCTGCCATTCTCACTAATAGTCAGATGAATCCTATCAGCCAGGAGGTGACATTGTGTGTGTTCAGAATTGTGTGTTAAGAAAACAGGCTTAGCCGGGCGTGGTGGCTCACGCCTGTAATCCTAGCACTTTGGGAGGCTGAGGCGGGCGGATTGCTCAAGGTCAGGAGTTCGAAACCAGCCTGAGCGAGACCCCGTCTCTACCAAAAATAGAAATAAATTAATTGACCAACTAAAAATATATATACAAAAAATTAGCTGGGCATGGTGGCGCGTGCCTGTAGTCCCAGCTACTCGGGAGGCTGAGCCAGTAGGATCGCTGAGCCCAGGAGATTGAGGTTGCTGTGAGCCAGGCTGACGCCACGGCACTCACTCTAGCCTGGGCAACAAAGTGAGACTCTGTCTCAAAAAAAAAAAAAAAAAGAAAACAGGCTTAGGAGTTGGGCCACATTGGCTTCCTGACCCCACCTAAGAATCTGTATAACCTTGGAAACATTGCTTAATGCCGCCAAGTCAGTTTCCTCATCTATAGAATAGGGAGGGGAAAAATGTCTGCCTTGTTGTGCCAGTTAGGATGATTTGACAGCAGTAAGCAGGAAGCCATGTTTGAGTTGGCTTAAACAATAAGGAGACTTCTTATCACGTAGAAAACATAATTGAAACTCTGGTCGCATTTCTCTGTGACTTCTCTTGGTCCACTTCCACCTCAAGCAGGCTTCTACCTCGGACAAGTAGCAAGATGGCAGCTCCAAAAATTAGATTTAGGTGCTGGGTGGAGCAGAGAAAGAAGAGAAACTCCTTTTTCTCACGGCTCTCTCAGGATTAAGGAAACATTTTGTGGATCTCTGGTACATGTCCCTTCAGATCTCATCAGCCCAAATTTGGTCATACGCTTGTTCCTGAAGCAGGAACTGGCCAAAGGAATGTGAAGACACTCAGATAAATTAGGGCCACTGTAGGGCAGAACATGAGGTGATCGTCTTCTGGGGCACATGGCTGGGGGAGGTGCAAAAGCAAACAGAATTGGGGCTCTGGCAGAGAGAAGAGCAGAGTCATGGATGCTGGGGAGGGTGCTGTGGAGTTTAGAGTGCTCAACTGATATAAATAGTTCATTAACATTAGCTTGGTAAAAGGGAAATGAGGGACACTTCTGCAGCTCTAGGGGGACCAAGATAACAAGTGCAGTTCCTGTCTCTGTAGTCGCCTTTGCTGTAACAATGCACCATATGCCCTCCTTCCCCAGAGACATCCCATTCTAATAACAACAGGCCTGGCAGTTGACCAGCACTGCAAGGTAGAGGGGAGGTTTGACACCTCAAAAGACCTCTAGTCAACTCTTTGGTGAGCTGAGGGTCAAAATAAGTCATAAACTGGTAGCTGTCAGTCCCCCAAGGAGGATGCCTCAATAGAAGTTGGATCTCCTTCAGATTATAGCAGAACTGACATTTCAAAAGCCACAGGACCACTTGAGCCCTTCAAGTTACCAGAGGCCATAACTTTCTGCCACCAGCTGCCCTCTTTTGACAACAGCCATAGCATATTCCATAGATTCCCTACTACACCCAGCACATCCTCCAATGACTGACCCAGAACACAGAGTCCCAACAAGAGCTCTGGTAATTTATCTACTGTGACAATGAGAACTCCTTCGACCTTTGAAATGCAAGCTCCAGACTTCTCCAGAGCCTTCAGCCAGGGAAACCTAGGGGAACCCTAGAAGAGAAAGCCTGGTGTGTGTGTGTGTGTGTGTGTGTGTGTGTGTGTGTTGGGGGGTGTTGGTGTTAGTTCTGAACTGTTTCAGTTCTTCTAAATGTAGTCCCTGACCTCAAAAAGCTGCGTCTTTGGGTCTTGACTCAGACAGCCATTGCCTTCTTTTGTCTTGTTTTTCTAACCTATTTGGCGCCTCACCTTAGTTTCCATTCAATATTTGGCCCCTGGGGTTACTGGTCCAGTTTGGAAGGTTTATCTTGGCTCTGACTTTGCATTCCTCAGGGACTCGACTTTCAGCATTCACCTGTCTGTACATTGCACCACCACGACCAGTGTTAGTTGGTCTCTTTCCTCTGCCCCACCCGCCCATAGTCTGCGTGTGTGCCTAGGCCAGCCTCCCTGACGCAGAAAGGCGATTGCAGAGATGATTCATTCCATAATCGACAATCACACCCCCTTTCCTTCCACCCTGGGAAAACTGCTGTTCCTTCAATGCTCTGAAAAGCTAGGAGGAAAGCAGTCTGATTAAACTGATGCTGTCTCATGTGGGAATTACTAGGACTCCCTTAAGTTACATCTTAAATATATTTCTGGCTTTTATTAAAAGTCAGTACATGGAACACTACCAAGTGAAATATTTACTATTTGGGGAGCAAGAAGTCCCAAGCTTGTGTAAGTTGCTCTTTCCTGGGAGATGGGATCACCGGAAGTCCACCTCAGCTGTGTCCCGTTTCCATGTCTTTTCCTTAGTTGACTGCTGAATTCACAGATCCCATAAATGTTTATGTTTTTCAAATGACATCTGTGGTTGTCACAGTGGGGATCACAGGTATAGGAGAACATAAGGTGTTCCATTTCTTGTTCAATTTGGGAGTTTTGGTAGTGAAATATTAGCATGTATTTGCTGTAATCCAACGTTGTTTCTTTGCTGTTTCCTTTAAGTTATTGCAAAGGGCTGGAATATGGAACTATTTGCATCCAATTCCACCTTGAACTTCTCTCCAGTGATTACTTTTGTGTTATCAGCTTTACTAAGTACAAGAGCTCCACAGAATGAAAGACATGCAGAGGAATAAAATCAGACTTGACTTCAGAAAGGGATAAATAAAATTTTAAAATGAAAAATGACCCATGTCTTAAATTCTAGTGGGTCTCAATTGAGGTTCTTCTGTTCCTTATACCTTGTTGCAATGAAATGTTATGATCTATAGATAAGTAAAACCAGCCGCTAGACTTGGGGACCATTCACCCACTTAACCTGTATGAAACTATTAAGGTTAGTAAACGAATAGCCATCCAGGCCATTACTTGATGAAGTTTGGTTATATGCATGACAAACATGTAGATCCCTGAATCAGATATGCCTATGAACTTTTGTATGGTTTTAGAGACTCCAAGAATATAGAAATATCTGTAAATAACCATTTATTTGGACTTCCCACCAAGCCTTTATAGAGAAAGCCTCCCCTACTCCTAAATCCCCAAACAGGAGCTTTTGAAATTTCACAGACAACTCTCTCAATAACTGCCCAGTCCAGATGATAAGAAGTAATGACTCCAAATGTTTTTATAAGGCTAATAAAGAAAAGGTTTGAATAAACATATAAAACTTTCTACAATATATAAGATCTGTGTAACTCTTGTAACATAAATGGATACAATGATATTATGGAAAGCCCACAAAGGAAACAGAACTGCTTTGGGGTCCCATTTAGTGTCTATAAATAGACAAGGACACTGGAACATGACCGTCTTCAAGAAAACTTCTGGGAGCCAATGAACCATTTTCCCATATCTGCTCAGGACTATGGTCTAGTGCCAATGGGTGGTACTTGAGAGATTTATATAAATATCAAGTTGATTCTGATATTAATTCGCAAGTTTGTTTCAACTGAACTGGCTTCAACTTTTAGAATATGCACATTCTTGGGGTAGAATGTTTACTTTCCATCCTAGAATGATAATAATTTCATTGTTATCTTGAAAAAAAATAGGATGATTTCTGGAACATTTATCTATTTACCATGGCAAAGCCAGGAAATGTGTCTATTGACATTCCAAATAAAAAGCATATTTGTAGCTAGGGAAAATAAAGAAAGAAAATGTATTTCAAAATTGAATACCTTTCAAACATTTGTGAATTCTTTGTTTAATTTGAACCACTGACTATAGTTAGCTGAGTAGCATAGCCCTTTTGGTTTTCTGTTTGAGAAACAGAGACTGAAAGGGACCGAAAGTCTGAGAAATTTAAAATTGCTATAAAACTCTTCTCACTTTTCCTAATTAAAGGGCAGACTAGTCTGATTCATAGACAGGCCTGAATTAGAGAACACTTTATAAAAAATGCAATTTATGGCAGCCCTTGACAGGGATAGGAGAATAAAATTAAAAGCCTTAAAGAATTTTTAAAAATTAATAAAGATGAATCATTTGTAACTCATTTGTTATTTATATAGAAAGGCTAGTACTAGTTGGTTTCCTATGTTGTTTTGGGAAAAAATGCGTTTGCCTTAGCATTTAAGTAGACTAAACATGTCCTTTCTCTGATGATTACTGCCAGTGTGGTCTGTCTGGAATGACTCCAAATTCCAGATTAATTGAGTCCAAATTAATAAACTATGTTGGCTTTGCCAATGTTATGCCAGTTTGAGATAGATTAGTTGCTGGCTTTGGTGGTGATGGTGGTGGTGGTGGGGATATATTTTTAACATTCTCAGAAAAAAGAATTAGCCAGTGCATGACAAAAATGATTAATACAATTCCTACCATGGCCACGAGAGGGCTACAAATACCACTACAAATACTCGCTACTGAAAGGTGATTTCAAAAATTTAGAGAAATTTGTCATCCATTTCCAAGCTCAGTCTCTCTGGTCTCTCGATTTTTTTTTCTAACAGCATTACGACTAAAAAACACCTCTAAAAATACCTGCTCTAAAGTGTTCCTTTCATGGCACGTGCTAATCTCATGAATTGCCATAACCGTGAATATTTCCTATTTCATGTGATGCAGAGATTATCTGACACTAATCTAAATTTTCTCTTTTTACAGGAGAAATATCTGGGCAAGCAGTTTTCAGAACATGGTGCTTTGGATGAGGTTTTGTTTCCTTCTACTTCCAAATCCAAGACATCTGCCTTTTAGGAGTCAGGATCCTCAGTGGGTATAAATGAGGTCTGGGAGTCTCAGTTCCCTATGCAAATGAGAGAGACTTCCTACCTAGGAAGCCCTCAAGGTGAGGGCACAGGCACAAAATATTTAGGGATCTCAGATTCCTCAGGCATGAGTCAAATCCAAGTACACTGGGTTGGTTTGACTCACACCAAATCCAAGTCTATCTGGATTCAGGAACTTGAGCTTTCTTTGTGGTCTTTTGAAGCCCCTTTCTCTGTTTGAGATGAGAAGCAGGTATGGTGGGCTCAGAACATTCCAGCAGCAATGGCCAGAGAATTTCCACAAACCCCCTTCGATCTCCAGCAACCAGACCCCTTTTTGCCCTTGGGGTGTAGGCAAACGTCTCAACTTGCTTTCAAATTTCTGTGGGATAGGACCACGGCATCAGATAACCAAGACAGGAAGTGCCCCATTTTCACCCCGTATGAGTAAGACACCCAGGGCAAGACTGTGTTCCCTAACTGCCAGTTTCCTGTTTCGCTTTGCTCCATCTGAATGCCAATCCCCGCATGACACCCCTACCCTGTGTTTCTCAAACTGCAGTCATCCAGCTCTCCAATGTAACTTTTAATTTTTATGGTGATGAGAGTCTAAAAGGTGTGACAAGCACACACCACAAATTCATGCATATTCACAATCTCCTTCTTTCCCTGGCTACATATTTTAAATGACAGGGAAGGGCTGGCAGGAAAGAAGAGGACAGATTTGAGGGGAGAAAGAAGAGAGGGGTAAACAGAGAGAGAGAGAGAGAGAGAGAGAGAATGGAGGGAGGAAGAGCTTGGTAGTGGGGAAGACAGGGAGGCTACCACGTGAAGACTTTGGAGAGAGGGTAAGGGAAGAACTTTGGAGTGTTTGGTTGTATGCATGATGTGCTCATTTAAACCCCTTACCCCTCCTTTCAAGAAAACCTGTAAGAAATATGTACATTACTCTTGAAAGTTTCTGGAACACTCTGCATTTTTTCTTCTTTTTTATCCTTGTTGGTTGGGAAGATTGGCGGCATCAACAGGCAGAAGTTGGCTTCACAAGGTCCTGGCCATATTTAGGCTGCATCCAAGTTGTTGGGTAAATACAAGTATTGCCACTCAACTTCAGTGCCCATGTCTTACCGACCACAAATGGCCTGTAGGTGGCGTAACTGTGTGTCCTAATTTACCCAGAACAGTCCCTATCTTTGTCTTCTTGTCCCAGCATAATAAGTAATAACACCCCCTTTCACTCTCAAAAGTGTCCTGGTTTGGATGATAGATTATATTTTCACTGTTCCTTTAAGTGATAATTTTGCTTTTATTGTACTGCTTATGTAGCTTAAGATTATAGTGTTTTATGGAAAAAATAGAAGTCGCAAGATATTTCTATTAACAAAAACAATTTGTGACTTGAAAAATAAAACTGGAGCATTAGGAACACATTTGATCCTCATAATTTAGAGAAACGAGGAGAGATTTAATTAGCCTCTGTCGCAAAGGAAGTAACTGTGGTTCTACATAAACATAGCCCAAATGCTGCTCCATCTCCCCAGCCCTGGTGTACTTTAACATCAATGACCCAGGGAGCCTACTCTGCCCACAGAGCTACACACAGGCAGTTCCCCTCACAAAGTCCTTTTGTCCTTCTCCTTCCCAGCCAAAGTATTTCTGGGAATTTCCAAATACTCACATGTGCAACCAAACCAGCCTGACCACATCAGTACCCCCAAGACATCTGCTACGGTCTTCATTTCCTATTTTGTCTCTCCCTTTTCCATGTCAGCCACCTACGCAGGTAGTTGAAGGAGCCACATTCTGGCTGCAGCTGATAAGAGTCCCAGATAAGGCCCAATGTACTGTGCAAAGGTGTCCTTGCTTCATGCTCCTAGAGCTGCTTCCTCAACGGCATTGTCACAGAGCTGGGCTCGAAGGACAACTGCGGGGAATTACCCTCTGTTGGCCTTACCTTGTCACTGGTTCCCATGGCAGCATATTTGTGCTCAGAGTCATTCTTTACTGGCCCTTCATCCTGTCCCCACTGGGGTTCCATCCAGGCCAAAAAGCTCCAGAGGAAACTGTCATCTCTATTCACCTTATCTCTCTTTCTACTTCCTCCTTTTGGTCAAAATGGAGCTTCCAATCATAGCACTTCAGGCACGTAGATACTTGTTTAAAGTGGTGCAAACTTGTAGATATATCCAAACCCAGCTCCATCCTGTCACAGAAGGGCTTTCTAGTAATTAGAACTGTTTGAAAGTGGAATGACATGCCTGGCTAGGTCATGATTTGCACACAATACTGGCGGCATTCTGGGAGTCACTGGATTTGGATTCTATAGAGGGATTCCCTTCATTGGGTGAGAGCTTAGATGAGAGGGCCACAGGAGTACCTACCATTCTGTTCTAAAATTTAGTTACTTACCATTCACTGATTTACTTAGAGACATGGAAAATAGACTCATGGGACATTGATTAGATAGTGTTATTATAAACTAGAAAAAGAGAGTGAACCAAAAATGCATTTCTTAAGCAAAGCTACACTCTTAGCTTGCATGACTATGTTTCTTCCTCTTAACTAATATTTTGGTTTGGGACAAGACATTCCTTTTGGGCTCTTTATAGTCTAGGCCAACGGTCCTCAAACTTTTTAAACAGGGGGCCAGTTCACTGTCCCTCAGACGGTTGGAGAGTGCGCACTGTGGGCCCAGGATGAGTCGGCTGCTAAGCAGGACAGGCAGTGGTGGCAAAAACACCTGGAGGACAGGATAAATGTGCTAGGCGGCCCGCATGTGGCCCACGGGTCATAGCTTGAGGACACCTGGTCTAGGCTTATATACTTAGATCTGAGAGTCAAACCCTTTTAGACCCACCATTTATCACAGAGCAGAGGCCCTGTGCAGCAAGGGTCCGGTCTGTGATGAACGAGCCCAGCCCCCTCCTCTGGTGGCATGGGTGTGGCAAGGTGCCTGGTATGCGATCACTCAACCGCCCCACCTTCTTGTTCAAGGAGAAGGGGTTGTCAAGGTGTTCTACCACGCCCTTGTTTCCGGTCACACGCTATTCATCAGGAAGGATAATTGACAGGATATGTACTGAGTCATGAGCAGGACTCTTTCTAATCTTTTATTTGGTGGCTGTTGCCATATCATTAGCATTTCTTACCAGGGCCAGAGGGCTGCACAGCAAAAGAGCTGACACATTTGTGCAGAAATGAAGCCGCAACAAAGGCTACTACTTTAATTGCATTTGTAGAAAACTTAGGGCTCTGGAGAATCAAAGAAAGCCAAGAAAGCCTAAATAGTTTTTGAATGCTTAGTTACACTCTCACATTTAAAAATATAACTTTACATGAGCTTTGTATATGCAAACCATATGTGCTATCCGTGACTATTCCCTCCTCTGTGAATGAAGGGGTGGCATGTGATTTTTTTATGTGTTCAAGTACTAGGAGCATGGAAATAATGAATTCTAGAAATGGAACTGTTGTGTCACCGTTATTTGAATACGTTTATGTGTAGAAATATTTGCATTTACCCTGCAAAAACAATAGTCAGATATTAGAAAATACATCTCCTCTTCTATGCAAATAAATAAGGAGAGTGACATTGCTCTGGTGGTGCATGGTTACATGGAAACTTTTCCAACTGAGCCAGGTCTGGCCAAGTTCAAGGCTGCTGCTTGGTCCTCCTCTGACTTTCAGAAGCTTCCCTGTTACATCATTATTTCCTTAGCAGATTTCTAAGCCTGCTTCTCCAGTTTTTAACTTCATAGTGTAACATTTTGGAATTTTGGAGCTCTTTGGAAAAGTTCCTCTAAAGAGAGATTCCCTTTATCTTTGATACCATCTATCTCTCCTTCCCTGTTTCTCTACCCTTGCTATCTCTTTAAAACTACTAGAATGATTTTATTAATTCTAAATACATGAGAATAGTGCATACTGTAGCTCACTATGTATGCAGAAATATTTAATCACTGGCCAATGGGTGGGACTTAGAAATATAATATTACCTTGCATTTTTTTTCTTCTTTGCACTGCAAGTTTCTATTGCAATTTGGGTTACAGTATAAGGTAGTGCAAAGGGCACTAGAATTGGTCTTAAAAGACCAAAGTTTGAATTCCTCCTGAGCCTATTATTACATTTGACAAGTCATTTAGCCTTTTAAGGATTCACTCCATGCTTATCTGTTTCATTTGTGCTATGCAAATTTAAGATATATGGAAATACACACATACATGCATATATATATACACACCTGTAGATAGACACACATATTTTTATGGGATTATATAGTCACTATAATCCTTATTTGCTTCTTTGGCTTTATTCAGTGTACATTGAGAGAGTCTTACCATGCCTGCAATTTTGCACAACTGAAGTCGATTTTTTTGAGGGCACGGTAAGGTCATTTTTCATTTTGCTTTCAAATAAACAATCAACATTAGAAATAAAGAGATTTATTGTATGGATAAACATGTGTTCTCTGTGCATGGGATGTCAGATGTGTGCCGACTCTCTTTTGTGTAAAGAGCTCATGTCTAAATCCCTTGAGTGGCTGTTCAGCTGAAGTTTAGAGTCTCTTAATCTTGTATTTGATGCTAAACCAAATAGGCCCTTAGGAAAGAATTAAAAATAAGCCAGACAGTATAAAATTCTTATTTTGTTAAAGTTGAATAGTATTTGTTGCATTAGGTATAACCAGGGTAATTGCTATGAGGGTGAGTTGAGCATGCTATCTACACACATACCCTCTAAAATAAAATAATCTAGGTATACAGATGGACTAAAGAGATTAAATATTTTTATCTTATTTGCCATTCAGAGTGTTGCCCTTTCGGTAAACCAAAATGTCATTCAGATGAATAGATAAGGTTGTTCTGCCAAGATCACCATGAATTAAAGTCAGGGGGAAAAATAAGTTGAGTAGCAAATCTTTACTTAGATGCTATAAAATTTTATTTTGTGTTTTTGAGTCTTGGATATTACCCACAGAAACTAATCTTTATTTCCAAACAATAGGACACACAAAAGATTGATCGGTCATGAGCAAAACGTTGGGGAAATGAACATAGACGTGAATGCTAAGAAAACTAT